GGTATGACATAGTTTAAACTGAATTTCTGAAAATTGATTATTCAGTGTTATAAACTAAGGTCCTATTAATTCAGATTTAAATTTATGGAAGCTTGCTTTAGCAGTTGTACTCCAGGAATCTATCAGATTGTAAAGCTGAAATTTATAAATTTCGATTTTTTCTAAAAACGACTGGAAAAAACTGTTCTATTGATAGAACAGTTTTTTCCAGTCGTTTGATGTTGGTATATAAGTACAGTAATCAGAGGGCATTTCATCGAATATTTTATTGGAAATAGACGCATTAGCATTATCTGACAATTCGAAACTTTCGAAAGAACACATTCGAAAGCTGTTACTATATCATATCAGAAGTGGCCACAACGTAGCGAAGGCTCGCGGTTAGGGATTGCAATTGCTGGATCCCTCATCCAGCAATCCAGCTGGATCCAGCGCATTTTTCGGCCTGCTGGATCCGCAAATATTCAATTAACTTTCTAAATAATGGTGCGAAGGTTTACGTTTTCAGCGTTGCCGCTTTGCTAAGTGCGCTATCGCTCGGCGGCGAGAACGACGTTGCCATTCAGTGCAGCACGTGCTACACTCCCTCTCTACACCGCACCACCCGTCCTTTTACCTCTGCTGATCTAATTGAAAGTTGACTTTTCGCTCTCGCTAAATAAAGTGTCTTCGCGCTAAATAAAATAAGTAGCATTTTCTCCTAGTCCTGGTACATAATTCTAATTTACGGTCGGTTGTGACGTCAATGAATCACTTGACGGAACTCCGCTTCAGCTGCGAGACACCGGCACTTTTTCGACTTTTTTCCCTGAATAAACTCGGTGCGCAATAAAAACGTTATTTATTTCATTTTTTCGCAGCTCGAAGAAATTAGAGAATTTGAATTTTTTTAAATTTTTTGAAAAATTTCGGAAAAATTGCGACTAAAAAAATGCCAGGGGGGCGTCTGTGACACGCTACATGATCTTAAATGAAAATTGAATTATTTACCACAAAAATGGCTCTAACGATGTGGATCAAACTTGGTTAGTTTAGTGAATATATAGTGGAACCAGCAGCAATGGCAGAGGATATTATGGAGGTGGAAAGCGATGATCCAGATAACCCGTATTCCCTGAATTTCACCTTGGAACAAGAATTGGAGATCCAACTAAAGCGTGAGAAAGAAAACTTCATGAAACGGAAAGAAACTAGTACTGAGAAGGATTATGATAAGTTATTAAAAAAGGAAATGGCTGTTTATGAAAATGAGGGAGTCAGAGGTGAAAACTTATTTTTGATTTATAATTATTTGATGACCCTGAAACCAACTAGCGTAGAGGCTGAAAGGGCCTTTTCTGCAGCGGGATATATATGCAGTGCATTAAGAAGTAGGTTGGGAGACAACACCATTAATGCTATTTGTTTTTTGAGATCCTACTTCCAGAAAAGTAAAATAATATGATAACATGTTAAATGACAAAGAAATATTTGATGACAAAAACATATTTGATGATAAAAAAAATAATATGAAAATAACACGAAAAAATAAGTGATTGATTTAATTTTATTTAATCCTTTAAAATACTTTATTCAAGACAAGACTAATATTTTATAACTTCTTCTCTAATTCTATTAAGTAAGAGTATTTAACTTTTATTCTATAAGTGGTTAATGGGCTAGGCTAGACAATTTTATTGTTAAAATTTGTGAGAAACTGAGGCTACCTAGTTAGTTAAATAGTTAATTAAATTAATGAGTATCAGTATCTTAGATATATGATATCAATATATATGATTCATGATTGTGATAATAATAACTACTACTAATTACTTACTCACTATTTTACTAACACTAATAATTAAATTACTTATAAATAACTACAGACTGATATGTAGAGCCTATATAAGAAAACTGGTAAGACTGATAGCCACTTAGCCACTGATTATCCATCCTTACATTTCGTTTTTTGAAACCGTGTTTTCGTATTTATTAACTATTGAACACAAGACTGTGTTATTATTAAAACACTTGGCGTTTTTCCTCTTTATTCATTTGATACGGGTACTTTTATACGTTTCGGGCGTATAGCCCCTCATCAGTCAACATTTAAGACATACCATTAAATATGCAATGACACTCGTACAGCACAAGTTCATATTCACTTTACCGGGAGGGTAAATTGATGACGTTGACACCACAAACCTACATACATTCAATACATCCTTACATTATTATAATATANTATAATTTAAATATATAATAAAAATTGGTGGTTTCTCTTTGAAAATCTGAAGTGAAACATCGTTATTTGGAATCAGTACTTGTAAAGAGCAGTGAACGCCCACGCTACGCCACTGGCTCGGAGTCGGACGTGCTTTTCTTTCGTTCGTAAATTGTGTGCTTTTATTGCGGTTTCCGGAATTTTCAAAAGAAGAAAAGAGATTTTTGAGGTACTTGTTAGTCCATATTCACCTTAGACGTAAGAATTTATTTAATATTCCCGGAAGAATCGTCGCGAGAACTCATCTCGGCCTATCGTTTTCGTTTTCGATTCGAATGTTTGATTTAGAAAGGAAGCTGCGATGAGCATTTTGTCTTTCTCTTTAAGCTTTTGGCTTTATTAATTTAAACTTTTGTTTTCACTCGACTAATTGCAAATTTTCTTTCTTTACAGAATGAAGAGGTTGGTGCGGTTTTGGCGGCTGTTCCGGTGAAGAAAGGCCGTGGCGCCGGAGGGGGATTCCTCGGACGGCGCGGAACGAGTTTGTTGGACTCCTACCGCGCCCGAAGAGACGTTGGAAGAGTGTGGGCTGGACGAGCGAGAGGCAGCGGGCGAAGAAGACCTTCCCCAAGTGCGCGTGGCGTGGCATCCTCTCGGAGTAGGGATTATGCGACGCTACACTGGGTCCGATGCACTTGCCAACGTCTTCGGGGGTCATCCGACCACAGACCTTGCTGCGCAGGATGTAGAAAGTGAGGCTCGTCCGAGTTGACACTTTCCGTTCAGTCGTGTTCTGCCTGTTCGTCCGAGAGGTGACGCCACTGCCTTGCGGAAGTCGGAACTGGGAGGAATCTTAGGAGAGAGCCGCCGAAGTCGAGGGGTGTGGTATCTGTGGTTTTGTTGCTGCGGACGGTTGTGGTTCCCTTGGCCTAGGCGGTGATCCTCTTCGATTTCTCCCTTCTTCGCCCGGATGCGACATTATTACCGGATTAGACACTATTCACCCTGACTCGACATCTTTTCCCGGACGTGACCGTCTTTTACCAGGACGTGACCCACGGACTTGTCTCTCGAATGTGACACTCGGTCGTTCGGGAGAAATTAACAAAAACTGGGGGCCCAAGACTTAAGTCCTATTAGTTAGGCTTACCACGCGTCCCGCTTTGACCGGGACTGTCCTGATTTGATGTGGTCTATGCGTCCCGGCCAGTTTGTCATTTTGTCCCGGTTATTTGGTAAAATTTTAAAAGTGCCGAATATACAAAAAGTAAAAATAGTGCAGTTTCGGGTAAAATGGCGATTTGGCAACTAAAATGTCTCCTCTGTTACACCAGAGTCGATAGATATACTGGTCCTTGAACTATGCTCTTAAGTACAGTTAATGTGTCAGGTTGCCGACAGCTGGAGTGAGAGTCGCTGTTAGGCGAGAAGTTTGTTTATTTATTTGGTTAGTAGTAATTCCGTTTTCAAGCATTTTTGAAACTTTTTTCTACTGTTCTGTCAAAAAATCTTATTCGTAATTACATTTTTTAATTTTATATAATGTATAAAGAAAGAAAAAGTATATTCGGTTTATAAAAAAAATTAATACGATGGTAATTTAAAATTACAGATGAAGATGTGGATAAATCGAAAATAATTATATTTTTGATTTAATTTATCCAGGTTTTAAATAGAGATCTGTTTAAAACTATTATATTGCTACATATTGTGAATGAAAATTTTGTACATAATGTTCTGAGTATAGCATATATGAGGATCCTTATCCAGACTTTCAATATGTTTATATCATTATCTCCTAACATCACATTGAAGCTATACTTTCGTTAAATAACTGTCAACTTTTACACCCAGAAGCAAAACATTTGTTAAGTTCTCAGACCTAGTAACGACGCTTTCTCATCACTTCTCGACCTAATATCTCGGTTTCGTCTTTATCTCGCCATCCAGTAACGAATGTTACTGGAATGTAAATGTAATTCAAATGTAAAACTCGTTTTCAAACTTAGTTTTCAATCCACAATTTTTTTTTTCAAGAAAATTTCTTGTATTCCTGAACACTGGTGTCACTTTCTTCTTTGCCTTTCTTTCACTTATCGTATTTGCATGTCGACGAAATGTGCGGTGTCTTCGGGCTGCGATTTGAAAACATTGTAAACCTATGAATCCCCACTGTTGCCATTTGTCTGGTTGTCTTCCATTAATCTCGAGAATGGACTTAGACAGACGACAAACGAGATCAAATATGAAATCACCAGAGGAAGGATGCCCCGATTAAATATACAGGAATTCCGATGCAAACCGGAAATCAAGTTATTTCAGTACAAAATTTTTCCCCGAAAGGAGTTAGATAAGTGAGTGGCACAACTCTATTGTTAAAGGAAAAGTATAATGTACAGGGACAAGCCACTGCTAATTTCACATATTTTAAATAAAGTAAATTTGAAATATAATTACAAATTGCAGCCCGGCAGTTTACAGTTTTCGCCCACTCCTCTTTATTCTATAAACAATAAAATTGTTTTGTAGCATACAGTTAAGAATTTTTTTTGACAAAGATGTAAAATCGTAACACGTAGTTATTCATAGGCGGTTGTCTCCAATATGTCGGGTCCCGTCCCTCACCATCCGACCGCATCTATAATGAGTCTGGCAGAACCTACGGTAAGTATAATAATAATAAAACACTGAAAGACCAGAAAAATGAAAACAAAAGCATTATTTTAAACCTCAAATATTTATTGATTATCAATTACAAATATTAATGTTATAGTTTACATTTTATGTTTATAGTGATTAAAATATTTTACAAATTCCTTTAAAATTATCATTATTGTAACTTAATAAAACGAGTAGGAATCTGCCCAATTCGTCCAAGTAAATTTATGAAGAGCAGGATCAGCATTCGGATCGATAGGTTGATTAATTGGAGGAACTGCACTTGCTTTCCAGAACTTTAATCGATTCAATATATATTTCACAAGCTAAAAAAAAAGTTTATTTTAAATTGATGTTTAAAGAATTCATTTTTTAATTTTAAACAGATTCTTTATAAAAGTTAAGTATTCAAATTTAAACAAAACTTTAAAAAGTTATTAAGTACTTATTAAATTTTTCAAATTTATTACTTTAAATATGATCAAATAGAAAATTAACATAAATAGAAGTTATTCGTGTAAATAACTTTCTTTATACGAATTAAACAATTTTATAATTATATATATATTTTTTATTATATAAATTTATTTTACTTTTTAACTCCTGAAAGAAAAATCAGAATGTTTAAGACGTCTGTCAATCATTTTTTACGTTAATTTTTAAAGAATACGAAATTTTAAAAAGTAATAAAGTGTTTTTTAATAGCAGATATATTTTTAATTTGCATCGTATCTTGTGTATTTTACGACTATAAATACTAATATAAAATAAATGAACGATCTAATAAACATATTATTCATAATAATTGTTATCTAAATATAACAATAATAATTGTTATCTAAATATAACAATATTTAAAAATGTTAACTTTTAATATAATTTTTTATGGCACCATTTAACTGATGCTGGTCTTGATATAGGTTTATGTTTCGTTTTAGTTTTGAGAAATTCATTTCGTACAACGTTTTGATAAATACAATTTTACTACTAAAAGTTTCTTACTCGTTGAATATCTCATCTCCAGATGCCATTAATAACAACGATTTTAGTTGATGAAAGTTAAATTTTGAAACGACGAAAATATAGACGAATTTATTCACTGACAAAAGCACAACACAGACGTTTATTTAGTTCTGCACAACTACCACCACTATTATATGTTCGCAAATAACATATTTTCTTGGTACACATACTGTACAAAGTGTTTGCTACAGTTCTATCTCGAAACAAGTTCGGTGTTCGTTTTGAACATTAATTTCCAAAACCCCAAAGTACGGTGTAATACCTTATAGGATTACAAAGCTTCTTCTTTTATTAAAAAGCGTTCCTCTTTCTTTCGCAAAACCTGACTGTGCAACTCTTTAAACATTCCTTTTCTTGAAACGTTCCGTTCTAAAAAAAAGAATAAATGTTCTATTTTTCCGACTTTCCTAAACCAACTTGTTCGTTCCATTGATCTTCTAATTCTTTGCTGTGCTTCCGTTTTCGTTCTATGCTCTGAATTCTTTAAAATTAACATTAAAGTAACTAATGAAAATTAGTTAATTTAATGTGAATTTTAGTAATGTGAAAAGTAAATTAACTTAATGAAAATTGTCACAAGATCACTCTTCGAATGTAGAAATGAGACATTCGATATTAGGATCAACGATTTGCATTACCAGTAGCGACTCATAATAAGCACTTTGTAACTGCAGCATCCCAATTAAAGTAAAATCACAGAATAACCGAAGCGGTTAAAAAGTAAAACTACCGCTTTGGTAAATCTGAGATCAAATTCGAGTAACTAACCAGGAAGGTTTCATGTCTGTACATGATATGCGAGGAATCACTATCGCTCAATTGTCACCCAGACTGAATCCACTATGTATGTGAAAACAGGTCTTTTTAGTGCCCGCAGAGTTTATTTTATTTTACTTTCTTTATTCCTTTTTTGTCCTGTGGGCTAGACATATTCGGGACGATCCACCCCGAAAACTTTTTAGAGTTTTTTGACCCATCCGGAATGATTCCTTGGTGCCCAGGACAGTAAGTGGCATTTTAACCGTTCGGCCATCCGATTAGTGTACAGAAGGTGGAAATGTTTTTAAAAGTCAGTTACTTCAATCAATTAATTTTATGATATACTAGCTGCAAGGACCCGCTTCGCTGAGTTTTTATTCGTATGTAATATAGTTTTTTTTATATAAAAGACTGTTCTTCTATGTAATCTAAAATCTAGCTGCAAGGACCCGCTCCGCTGGGCAAAAAGTAACGATAGTGAAGATTAAGATAATTACATTATAGCTAATCTTACCCGTTTTCACAGAATGCAAGAATTAGGCCCCTGTTTCCAGACTAATTAGAGAATTTTTACGTTTAGTCAAACGAACTATTTTCAACGTTTCTGGAACGTTTAAAATCGTTCTAAAATCGAACCAATATTCGAATTTTATGTTCGAATTTAATTCGAACAAATTCGAACAAAACATTCGAAATAGAAAGCCACTTTCAACCACTTTCAGCCTCATATCTCCCNAATTAACATTAAAGTAACTAATAAAAATTAGTTAATTTAATGTGAATTTTAGTAATGTGAAAAGTAAATTAACTTAATGAAAATCGTCACAAGATCACTCTTCCAATGTAGAAATGAGACATTCGATATTAGGATTAACGATTTGCCATATCCAGTAGCGACTCATAATAAGAACTTTGTAACTGCAGCATCCGCAATTAAAGTAAAATCACAGAATAACCGAGTCGGTTAAAAAGTAAACCTACCGCATTGGTAAATCTGGGATCAAATTCGAGTAACTAACCAGGAAGGTTTTATGTCTGTACATGATATGCGAGGAATCACTATCGCTCCATTGTGACCCAGACTGAATCCACTATGTATGTGAAAACAGGTCTTTTTAGTGCCCGCAGAATTTATTTTATTTTAGTTTCTTTATTCCTTATTGCCATGTGGACTAGACATATTCGGGACGATCAACCCCGAAAACTTTTTAGCGTTTTTTTACCCATCCGGAATGATTCCTTGGTCCCAGGACAGTAAGTGGCACTTTAACCGTTCGACCATCCGATTAGTGCACAGGAGGTGGAAATGTTTTTAAGAGTCAGTTACTTCAATCAATTAATTTTATGATATATAAAATAATTTTTCTTACCTTTGGTTGTTCGTTTGCAATATTTTCCAGTTCGCAAGGATCTTTTAATATATCAAATAAGCATGGGGCTGAATTAGGATCACAATTACTATTATTCCTTTTCGAGTCAGAATAACAGTTATCTGGCAATCTGGTGAAAAACTTGTCAGTATTGTAGAGCAATCCTTCCTTTTCAAGAACTTTCCAAGAATATGAGGAGCGAAGTAACTTTTCGTAGCAGGAAGAAAAATAATCATCGTCTCTACCGGAAGGTCCGTACCACGCATTGTATTCTCCATTAGAATTCGATCCATTTACTAGTTTGTAATTTCGGAATCGAAGAGCTGAAGCACCGTCGATTGGATCTATGTTATGAAGAATTTCTTCTCTAGATGTAGGTTTGCCGTGAACTAAAGTCTTCCATTGATTTATTCCATAAATATCCGTCAAGTCGCTAACATCACCACCTAATAAAAAGCAAAACTAAATAAAATGTATAATCAAACATAAAGGAAAGTCGCGAGTAGTAGCGTGAATGAAGACTTGTGACCTCACGAATCAGTCTTAGTAACGCCATAAGCTATGTTTTCATCTCAAGAAATTATAAAATATTCAATGTTTATTTTCTAAAAACATCTATTAAAGTTCTTTAAATAACATTTAAAACTCCTAATAAGTAAATAAGAAAAAGATTTACTCTTATAAAGTTAAATTCTGATTATATTCTAGCTGGAAAACAGAATCAAAATATCATATCGTCTTGTGAAGAATGTCTCAAAGGTTTTGTGAAATTATTTTCTAATCCTTCCCGAATATCTCGAGGTTTTCGTTTAATAACTTTTGGTTTTTATCGTGTCTTATAGTCACTCATTCACTACTATTAATTAAAATGTTTATAGGTACAGTTGATTTCAAATCGATAATTTTGTTTAAACCGTCGCGACGGTTTGAACAAAGTTATCGATTTGAAATCATCTGTACCTATCCAAACGAAAATACGGTGAAGATAGGACAATTACAAATCTCTAAGACACTGTAACACATTACAAAATAAGAATCCGGTAAAAAGTAATTGCACATTATTACAAAATAAACAGCAGTTTAAATTTTTATATATATGTTAACAATTATAAACTAAGTACAAGTAAGTTTCCAAAAAATCTGTTAATGTAAAATTGTAAAAAAGGGTTTTGTGAAACTAATTCCATATATGTTTGGTAATTACAATTTAGACTATCTTCTGTTATTAGTTTCAGAATGATAACGTAGAGGAATTACAGTATTTGGATGTTAGGCCAAGACTCCACTAGCGTAAAAACGAACGTAAAAACTTTTAATTCTATTTGCAACCTATTTGCGTTTGCGTCTGGATTGCGGTGGAGGTCCGGCTAGGCTAGCGAAGGTTTTACGGCGACGATACTATCGAACTTATAAAGACAGTGATTATATTCTACGAGTTTTTTCTGTACTATAATTACAAATGTAGTAAAAATAATATCTTTACTTTTATATAGACTTTTATTATCATATTATTAATTAAGATAATATACAGCGCTTATAAGTGTGCTAATTTCACTGACTTCTGATTGGTGGATGGTACCGTTTTACGGCCGTATTGGCGTCGAAAGTTGAACACTGCTCAACTCGCTTTTACGCTGGTTTTACGATTCGTTCAGGCGTAAAATATCATGGTCACGTGATTAAAAGCTTTTACGGCGAAGGGTTTTACGCCCGTTTTTACGCTAGTGGAGTCTTGGCCTTATAGGCATTTAAGTTGGCCTAATTATTATATCAGTTGCACGCAGTTATTAAAAAGTCAAAAAAATTAATATTTTAAAGCTTTGTAATTTTATCAAATAAAGGTCATGATATTTAATTAAAAACAGTATTACATTACAAAGAAAACTTTTAAAATTCTGTTAACATTAGTCCCATTTTATACAATATTTCAGAATGAATTTTCCTTCCAAAATTTACCTGAATCTATGTTACCAATTTTCATCTACGAGGGTAGTCTCAGAAGTACCCGGCCTGACAAAGAAGACACAAAAAATTTGGTAAAACATATATATTTTTTTCAACATAGTCTCCTTTTAGCTTGATACACTTTTTCCAGCAATGTACAATAGCTTCGATCCCCTGTTTATAGTGGGAACTGTCGAGCTTCTCAAAATAGCCATCAACCGCAGACTCCACCTCTTCATTGTTGGCAAATCTTTTATCACCGAGCCATTTTTTTAAGTTTGGAAAGAGAAAGTAATCCGAGGGGGCTAAATCTGGCGAATAGGGTGCGTGAAGATGTAATTTGAATCTTAACTCATTGATTTTGGCCATCGTAATAACGGATGTGTGAACTGGTGCGTTGTTTTGATTAAACAACATTTTCTTTTTCGCCAAAATTGGCCGTTTTTTCTTGATTTCATCACTCAAGCGCTGCAGTAAGTTCGCGTAATACTTGCCGTTGATTGTTTTTCCTGGGCGCATCCCAAAAAACTGACGCCATGACCTTGCCAGCAGATGGAACTGTTTTCTCCTTCTCTGGAGCAGATTCTCCCCTTTCAGTCCATAGTTTCGACTGTTCTTTCGTCTCAGGTGTGAAGTGATGGACCCATGTTTCATCCATGGTTATGAATCGACGCAAAAACTCGGCTTTGTTGCTGCGAAACATTGCCAAAGACTCGATTGAAACATTCTTAGGACGCTGATTTTGTCCCATTGTGAGCAAACGCGGCACCCATCTTGCGCACAGCTTTCTCATGTCCAAATTTTCAGTTAAAATGCGATGTACAGCACTTTTTGAAATACCTACCAGTCTACTAGCTCTCGCACTTTGAGTTGACTGTCATCCAATACCATTTTGTGGATTTTTTCCACCATTTCTGGCACTTGGTCGACCACTGACATATTCGTCTTGGCAGCTCGTACGGCCTCGTTTAAACTCTGCCACCCAATATTTTATTGTTGCAAACGAGGGAGCAGACTCCCCCAGAGTAGAATCTAGCTCAGCTTTAATATTGGTTGGACTGAAACCTTTCAAATGAAAGTATTGTATCACATAACGATGACAAATTTTTTCCATGTTTACAAATTCACTGAGATTGTTCACTATGGCTGCCAAAAAATACTATACAAAGTAACGTCTTCAAACTTCAAACTTAAGCTTTATAAGGTTGATACTTTCAAACACAGTCGTTTTTTTTCAAACAAGTACCGCCATCTATGTCAGGTCGGGTACTTCTGGGACCACTCTCGTATACTTCAGGCTATACATCGAAAAAAGAAATGTATAATTTCTCAAAATTGGCTTGAATCAAATAAAGAAGTAGAAGTTCATTTTCCTAATGAATTAGTTTTTTGATAGACAAAAATTAACTTTGCTTACCAAATGTGCAATTGCTGCTTCATGGTTCACATTGCAAGCAATAATTTAATACATTTCAGGACACATTTTTAAGTACAAAACAGCAGTTATAAATTGCGCGTAAGATTAGTAATATTCAACTTAATCAATTATTTATCTTTATCGTCATATAATCTTTGTGATGAATGTCTTTACAAAGTTACTTTGCAAATTCGACTAAAAACAAACTTTATAGGCTGTAAAATAATGTGAATAATCTTGTTAAATTGATAAGTGATTTTCAAGCTGTAAAATAAAAAAAAAGTACAATCAAATTAACAGAATTTCTATTTTAATAATTAAGGTTAACATTAATTTTATCTTAAAAGCATAGTGTATTAAATGTTTTGTTTAATGTACAATGTAATTAAATGTAGTTATTTTATGTAATGTATGTAATTTTATATACGCTGAAATAAGTCGGCCTGAATAGTTTATATCCTCAAACTGGTGTTTTTAATATTGTCATATATAATTACCCCACTTATTACTGTTAAAAAGTTACTTTCAGCAGAATTTGAAATTGAATTTTTTAGGCCTAGCAGTCAGTAAGGCATTGTTTATCATTTAACTGATAGCTTCCTCAAAAACAATTCACTTTACATAAATTCAGAATACAACACACGCAACTAAACAGTAATTGTAAAACACGTACAAGGATCTCTTCATTAATGCACTTAATTAATCCCTCGATCCTACCGCCTATATAAACATCGCGTTAATCAAAATACGTATATACGTTTAATAAATACAGCTAGTAAAGTCGCGTAAATAAAAAAGATTGTCGCAATTAATTTCGCGCGTTAATCAAATCCCGCGTTAAGCAAAGGATATCTGTACTGCATGCGTTCATCTGCAGACAACTTTTTAACAACTAGATGAGTCACATCTAGTTGTTTAAAAGTCTGTGGATGAGACTGAGGGAACTGTGTCTTAAATACAACGTCGGTGAGTCGCTTGACACGAATAAAAAACATATGTTTGAAATAGTTACATAAAGGTTTAAAATTTCTGATAAGATGATAGAAAGGAGTTGAGAGTAACTGCTGACATGTTGACGAAAAGAAATGACAATTCGTTTAAATCGGTACCAGTCCGGGTATAGGGCCTACGTTTACAACAGAGGCAATAGACGAGCAAAGTAATGTGGTGCCATCTAGTGGGAATGAGGGACGTAAAATTCATTCCTGTTTCTTAGAACTTGGATAACATTCCCGTAGTTCTACCGAAATTCACCAAATTCTGGACAAATATCAAGAAACTGTCTGGCTGTATATTCCAGCATCCAAAAATGTCAAAATACTTTTTTGTTATTAAACGTTAAAGAGGCGAAAGACAACATTTTTTGTTTTTTAAATAAATTTCTTTTCTGAGTCTCATTATATTTTCCAAAATGTAATTTATGCACATGCCAGGGTTCTACCGAGAATTTTGAAACCAAAATCATCAAAATTTAACGTGGAAATTAAAAAAAAATTAGACACAAAGGTGGAAAAGTTAATACAGAAGCCTGGGCTTCGCCCAGGCCATTATTGTGAACTTAAAAAATAATAGTTCTATTGCTAAGAAAATCAAAAAAAAGTGTAAGCTTCAAACACTTAAAAAATAGTTATTCAATTTAGGTATTTTATATTATAATATTATTTAAACTTTATAATTTGCAATAATCTTAAACTGTATCATTGATTTAGAATTTGATTTATTCAGACATTGCATATAATTTGTATGAAGTTTATTGTAACCATTTGGATTAAATATTAAAATTTAAAAAAGCGTTTGAAATACTAGCCTAAATAATAATCTTTAGTGACACGATTTTTGAAAAATAAGGAAATTTCTTTAAAAATTAAAAACTGATCACTTGGGACGGCAAGTTGTGACGACACATTTTAGTGCTTCAGCTTTCTCTGTAGGAGACGTTAGGAGTCTGCTACTAATTCGTGCGTCGTAAAACGCTTCGCGCTGCTTTTCGTCACTCCCCAAATCGTTTGATATAACTAATGCAGGATAAATTATTACTTATATCAGATGAAAAAGAATAAGTAACTCAGAATACCTGCAGCATGATAAAATGTCGGTAACCAATCAGTGATGTGAATTAAGTTCCTTTCGATCCTCGGTTGTTGCTTGAACAGTTTACTCCATACAAGTCCAACTCCTCTCACTCCTCCTTCCCATAAAGTTACTTTATTTCCTCTTAAAGGCCAATTCGAACCAACTCCACCTCTGAAACCAGCAGCTTCTCCACCATTATCCGTAGAAATCACAAAAATTGTATTATCTAACATAGAATTATCTTGCAAGGCCTTAAAAACTCGTCCAACTGATTTATCTAATTCTGAAACCATTGCTAAAATAATAAAAGATAACGGATTTTTAAAAATTGTATTACTGTGTGCAAACAGTTTAGTTAATTTGATTAAATCTCCATATTCAATTTAATATTTTATGCATCTTTAAAACGTATTTACCTGCAAAAGTTCTTCTTTCTGGGTTCTCTATACATAGAAATTTGGAGACTTCGTTTTGAGGTGCTTGAAATAGATTATATGAGTTTCCAGTGTGCACAGCATTCGGCGCTAGATATAGAAATAATGGCTAAAACAATAACAAACGTATGCATTTATATTAATTTCATATTTTACAAAATATAAAAATTAATAACTTAAAATACACAAATTGAAAACCTTTTGTTTTTCGTGATTTTTAATAATATCGATTGCTCGGTCTGTGAATAAATGAGTGGCATAAATTCCTTTATATTCTCTGGCGACTCTTTCGTTATCTCTTAAGGAATATCCCCAGGCATACTGAAACACAGAAAAAACAAAATACAGTTAAGTTGACAATAATCTCTTATATTTACACAACACTATACATTGGTGCTTCATACTTCAAACAATTCTAACTTCGAAAGCTTCAAAGTTTGAACGCTAAATTTAACAAAAATTTGCTTCGGAGTTAGAATGATGCTTCAAAGTTCAAACTGTGAGCAAAGTGAAAAAATGCACTCGAAGGGTAAATGCAATTTGTTGTGCGCCCAATTCGTTTCTTGTATCGCTTGTTAGACTCGTATGTTTTCAGTGTTATTTCCGCTTTATTTTTTGTATGTTGGGTTATATATATGCAGGTTACTTTTTGGCTTTTATATATAATAGAGAAAAAGTATAGACATCGGTATAAAAATGACTCTCCCAAAATTTTTACATTTTTGGACTTAAGGAACCTTGAAGTGTAGAATAATACAAAAATTCGGATTTTTTCTGTATGTATGGATGTTAATGTGTATGTGAGGGCACGATTTTGTTCACCTTCCTTGAAGCTTACTTGTCTGCCATTTGTCGAAACATTTTGAAAAATTTTGCAGCGAGGTTTGTTTATTAGGTTCAGGGAGTGGGGAGATAAAGGGAGTTTTTCTTATCTCCAGCCTGTCCAAATCTCCCTGAATCCAATTAATGATGTCAGCCGTGTATCAAATTACAGGAACTGTCCAGGTGTTAATGGCTTTGATTGTGTTCCTTGCATTTAGCTTTAATCTTAAAATTTTACGGGCCACATGCTAGGTATTCTGAGCTTATTTTAAGTTTTATTTCAGCAAGTAAAATGTCTGAAGCTTCTAATATTCCGAAGTATTTATAGCTTTCCTTTACTGCTAATCTTCTGATTTGTATATATTAACATTATATAATATATATAATGCATACGTATATATTCGATATATTGGTTATATGTTATTTGTCAATTTTTAACATTTTCTTCCTGCAATTTTTTATTGTCGAATGTTTTAGGGCGCTCAGTACGTTTTATATTTTTTGGTTCTAAATTTCCTGAATAAAACTTTATATATAACACATTTGACATGTTTGAATTTAAGAAGCATCTTTTCCGTGTACAATACGATTTTGTTTTTTTTTTACTGTTTGTACGACGTTATTGCCTTTCTGAAACTTATAAATCATAACATGCCTTATCGAAAAACTCGATTTCATTCAAAACAAAATGTGAGTTAAAAAATATAAAATAAGCTTCTAAACCAAAATTACAATCTCATATTATGAATGAAATGTTAAATTTTACAACTGTTATAATTAAATCACACATGCCCATTAAGTAAACTGTTGAAATTACAAAAAACTTCAATTTCTTTGATATAGTACCCATGTAAGGATTTTTTTTTCTTATAATAATAATAATAATACATTTTATGAATGTAATATGTATATATATTAAATACAAAAAAATAATTTTTTTCTTGTAAAAAAAAATTAAAAAATACAACCGAATATAACCTTTACTAATTAACTGTGTGTGGAAGCAACAAAGTCTAAGAGGAAGGTTGTAATATCGACGATTGAGATGAAAAAAGGAATTTATACAAAACATGGGGAATCTGGCGGCCATGTTTAAGAAAACAAAGTAGACGGTTTGTCACCAGTAAATGCAATTTTCTTTTTACTGGTATTATACAGCGTTTTATTTATTGTTTTCATGTTTTAATTTATTATTAGGGCATTTAGTTGTGTTATTTTTACGTAAAATTATGTGTATTTGTTGTTTTAAGTTTATGGAAATGAGTTAAGTTTTGGGTCTCGGAATAAATTAATTCTTTTATTATTTCTAATGGAAAAAATTGGTTCGGACTTCGAACGTTTTGGAATTTGAACTTCTTCTTGGAATGAGTTAAATTCGGAGTACGAGGCACCGTTGTATTGAGATTTGTAACTATGGAATTATATAAAATAATAATTGCCTTTAAAGTAGAATTTTGAAGAGTTTCATATGTAGTATAGTCGTAATAATCCATCCCTGGTGGCCAAAACCCGAAAAACGAATCGAATCCTCTTCTTGTTGGAAAATATTCTTTTTTGTAAAACCCTAAATGCCACTGAAACGCATTTACTTTTTATTAGAAAAAATATAACAATCAGTTTCACGAAAATATATCAATAATAATAAATCCTAAAAAAAAACTATTTTCTTTATACAAAATAAAATAAATACTTCAGTATATACTACGTATTTGCATAAAACGACATCCAAGTTGTGAGGTTAATATATTCACTTGATATTATATTTGAGTCAAGCAACCAATCACAGTATTAAATAAAAATAATCCTTTTCGTGTAATGCAATTTTAATTCTTTTATTCCCTGTAAGTTTGTAATGAGGAGAAACACTTTGATTTGAAAAATATGCGCTGTGTTATTTTGGAGCAATAGACTAGCCATATACACGTAATGAAAATAGAAAGACCATGGCCTGTGGAATAAAAATTGCACTTGTCTCAGTAAATATTTTATATTAGAATGCAGACGGAAATTTAATTTTTCTCCTGTCAAATATGAGAAATATGCAAAATTTGTTTTTTCTGATGTTTTTCATGTATAATGGACATGAATAAGTGCAATATCACGAAAATATAAAACACAAAAACAAATATTTGAGAAAGAATATTTGCTGTTAGAGAACAAAAATAGTAACTGTATTATTTCAGTTATTATTCTATTTTTCTTAGATATGTATTATCCCATTTATGTAATCATGAATTTATTCGTTTATGTAGTAGAAGTTTTGTTGTATTTAGAACCCGATGAGCATAAAAGACGACATAACACGATCAGAAAAAGATCATTCGAGCCACGTGTTGTAATTCTGCAACACGCCTCAAAATCGAGGGAAAAAAACTGTTTTTCAATAATAAAGACAAAAGTATAGACTATTAAATGATCATAATTTTTGTGCTATTTTGTCCATAAAAAATAAAAGCATGGCAAGGTGTGATATTTTATGCCTCTCTATTCTGGCGCTTAATGTGTTAATTAAATCAGAAATTGATTGTGATATCGAAATGTAAATCTCATGGAATTTGATTTGATATTTACAAATTTAATGAAACATAAATTTATTTTTGAAAAAGTAAATTTCACTTATAATTCAAATCGAACAAAAATGAATATGCCTGCAATTTTTACGAAACATCCTGTATACATTTCAAGTTATATAAAATGGCAGTTAATATTTTCATGCATATTACTCATTAAAACAAACCTTTCCAACGCCGTGACTTCGATAACCAAATTTTTTCAAATATTGAGGTAAAGTTTTCACATCCAATGGTAATCCACTTGGCTCAGCAGTGCGAATAACAAGATGCTGAAGACCTGAATTTATATCGATAGGTTCATTAATTCTGTTTGTGAAAATTCTAAAATACATATTTTTTTGACAATAAAAACTTTTTGCTGTTTTTTAAATATTGATGATTGAAACATATTTCTATAAACTTACCTAAATGTATTGGATGTTTACCAGTAAGTAACGCAGCTCTTGATGGGGTGCACAGGGGTTGAACGTAATAATTATCTAAGAGTATTGAATTAGCAGCCAAAACGTCAATATTCGGAGTCGGTATTTGTAAAGATTCGTGATAACTTACGTCGTTCCATCCCTATTCATAATATTATCGTTATATGATACTATATATATATACATAGGTACAGTACACATATAAAATATAATAATAATAGAAAAATTTAAATTTCTTTTTGTCCACATAACTAATTCTTAATTAAACCCTCGTAATAATTGATGGAAATACTTACAAGGTCATCGACTAAATAAAAGATAATGTGAGGCGGTTTTCCTTGGATGCAGGAGAGATGAATAAATAGAATTATGCAGACCCTCCACTTCATTTCGAATACAATTGGCAGCCAAAGATTTAATGGTTTAACTTCGAATGAATGCAAGTATAAACGTTCGATTGATAAGGTATGCAAAAATGTTTTCCGCCTTGTTCCTGTAGTTTGAACAGATAATAATTGTTTTAATGATATTTTATTAAAGATGATGTAAAATAAAAATCCTATTCATATACAGTTGTTATAATTAAACATATACATTCAGTCACTTATATCTGTATTATAACTTTTTGCTAATTTATTAACAAATAAAAGAAAAAACGCGTTGTTTTCATCAAAACATGCCAGGCAAATGAAATAATATTCCATTATAGTAGAGGATCGATTATCCGACTCAATTGGGGAATGGGGTTGGTCGGATAACCGAAAAATATGAAAAAATACATTATTAGTATAGTACAGTGTTTCTCAACGGGGGCGGTATCGCCCCATGTGGGCATTTTTCGATGTCGAGGGGGCGATTAGTAACAATTTATATTTTGGGAGGGGGGCGAAAAACAATTTTCTGGACGTTATAGTAAAACATTATATTAAGAATAATTAGATATTTTATTCGTTATATCGTACAATAATTAAACAAATAACATTATACTAGTAACTAGTCTATTTAATGCAGTACGAATTTGGCGTTAGCCTTGTCCTTCGGCATCGGAATTTTGTAGTGAAGAGGGCGATACTACGTAACGGTTTTATTGAAGGAGGCGACGATTCATTAGAGGTTGAGAAACACTGGTATAGTATATTAGTATATCCCATATAATTAGTAGGCCTATATTAGTATAATGCTATTAACCCCGTTAATTCCCGTTGAATTTTCATCGATGTTAAATCTAACAAATTTTTTTTTTAAATAATATTCGTCGCTATTGTATCGTTAAAAATTATTTTTAAATTATTTTATTGCTCACAAAACAAACAACCACTTATAATTAGAAAATTAAGCCTCGTTTAAATACTGGGCTCCCTTTCATGGCAAGCCAGTGTTGCCAGCTAAAACACGCAAAAATTTAACAAAAATAATATTAAAGTAGCTAAGACAGTTAAATATTGTAGCGCAACATCACTAGTAAACATTTGAAATTTGCCGATTAGAACGTCGATTAACCGATCGCGAGTCGGATAATCGATGCTCTACTGTATTCTTAAATTCCAGTTTGATTACGAATCATTTCTATTATTAACCGTTTTAAAAAAGCAAAATCTATATATTTAGATGAGGATGTTTGTTTGTTCGCTATACATTCCTAGACCGTTAGATCAATTCTACGAACCTCGGCAGTTTCGGTTAGAAACTCAGTTATCTGAGTCAGAACCCTCGGCTTCTAACTCAGATAATGTCGTACATTTCACCCAAAAACATTCATTGAGCTTTTATGAGTGAATTATTTTCTGTCTATAATCGATTTACATGAAGTTCTTTCTATTGGCAAAAATTTTTTAAAATAATAAACTAAATATAATTCATACAAAAAATAAGATAAGCAGCGGTATCTCGTAGTTCGAACTACTCTAAAATCGAACGCTTCAGTTTAAATACAAACTTAGACAAAAATTCATCTCAGTGTTTGAACGATGCTTCGAAATTCGAACTGCGCGTGCAATGAAAAATGTGTTCGAAGCGTAAACACAATCCGTTATCTGTTCAAGTCATCCGTTGCTCTACCTCTTTCTTTATGCTTGTATGTTTTCAATGCTTTATTCGGTTTTTTTTTGCTGTTTTTGGGTATTACTGAAAGCTGTTGTCTGTGTGTGTGAATTCCTTATAACTCCTGCAATCTTTGTTTAATACAATTGAAACTTTGATTATACAGTATCATTATTTGTTCTGTTGGAAAGTATAGACTACTTATTTGGTGAAAATGTTAACTATATAAACATTTTATCGATTTCGGATCAGGGATCCCCCTTACATTTCAGTGATATTAGTGACCACGTGACGTTCATGCTCAACGAGGGAATTTCCCTTAAGTTCCATTTTAAAATATTTTGGAAAATGGCGCATTATGAACATGCTTCATTACATTTAAAATTTAAACTTTAAAAATGTAGCTGCATCGTGTCACATCTATGACAATTTTTTTAAAAAATTTTTTCATAATGATCACGTAAGACATCACGTGGTCATTATAAAAAGATCCGATCGAAAGTAAAGATCTTACGAGCCCGTTATGTAGGAAGTATTATCGCTCATCTAATTAATGTACAATACATACAATTCATCTTTGTTTTATCAACATGGAATTAAAAATACTTGCTATTTTGTCGAATAAAATATGTCTAGGGAAAAGCGAAAAAGTAAAATTGGTCAGGTAATAAAAGAATAAGAACAACCGAGAACCCTGAAAGGCCTGAAGTCTGACTTGAGCAACATCGAATAAGAACGGCTTTGTCAACGGCTGCAGAAATAGCATCACAATGTCAAGTCGAGCTTGACATTGTGATGCTGTTTCTGCTCGACTTGAAGCTCATCTCAATTCTTCAATCTCTACTTTCTCATAAAAATATTCTGTCATGCTTGACAGAAGAATTTTTAGTAGGCTATATACTGTATTGTTTATTGTTTCTTCCTACAATCTTATTTTTGACAGCTTCTAAACGTTTTGCATCCTTAGGTTTAAAATTTCCCGAACAGAACTTTATATCCATATTTGACACGTTCAAAGTTTAGTTGCATCTTTCCCATACAAATTATAATTTATTTTTTTACTGTTTGTATGGCGTTATATCCTTTTCGAAACTCTTAAGGTATAATGTGCCCGATATGCTGTTATCCGAAGACATACAATTTGACGTTAATTATTCGAATAAAATGTGAAATTTGAAACAAGCTTCTAAACGAATAAAATCTCACACTTAATATATGTTAAATTCACAACCGTTATAATTAAGTCACACATTTATGTTAAGATGCCAAGTATCACGATGTACTGTACCATCAACAAATGCAAATTTTTTTTATTATACAGGATTTACGTATCTTATTTATGGTTCTTGTGTTTTAGTTCATTATTCGGGCATTTAATTATGCTATTTTTATCTTAAATTATGTGTATTTGCTGCTTTAAGTTTATGGAAATGGGTATTGTTCGGGTTTGGGAATGAATTAATTCATTTTCCATTATTTCTAATGGGAAAATTTTATTCAGACTTCGAACGCCTTTTTGAAATGAATTAAGTTCGAAGTACGAGGCACCATTGTAATAAAAAACAAAACAAATATTATGTTCACTTAATTACTGCGACAATTATATTCTCTCTTACTGTTGCCAACGCATTTTGTGGTGGCGCTAGTGAAATGTAAAAAACGTGGTTATCATTTCAGGATAATGCATCTTTTTGCTTTGTATTAAAACAATGGCAGTAACGTAGCGTAGGGGGGGCGGCTGGGGCGGCTGGGGCGGCACTTTTTAGGGGGCGGCAAAATTTCACAATAAACAATAATAATATCTTGTAAAAATTTGAACCATTTTATTTCATATTTTTGTCGCACCTACGATTCGGACCGATTGAAATGAGCATGGAATAGTGTTACCATCCGACTCGCCGTCAGGGGATATATGCTTCTTTTGCATGTAGGATTCATTCATACGTATTCATACACATCTCCAATATCCAATAGAGCTGTCATCTACGTTACTTACGTTACTCCTACCAAGTCTCACTAGTCGCTAACTGTAACTGATTTAGAACCGGCATGCACTGCAAATTATTCTTCGCATTGCAAAATGATATACGCATGCTTCAGGAACTTTTGTTCGAACAAACCTCACCTGCCGTCAGGGTTGACGATTTTAAAAACGTGGCAACGCTAGAACGGAATTTTTCATTAGTTATTCTGTGACGAAACTGAATTTTAGTCTTTTAAATTGAGATACCTAAATAAGTGGGCAGTAAAATTTTCCTCCGTCCCGGGCGGCTGACACCCACGCTACACCACTGAACAATGGTTCGATATTGCTCTTTGTCCCAGTGTGAACATAAACAGGGAGGTTATTATAATGAACAGAAAATTCGCTTTCACAAATTAAGAAAAGCACGAGTTTCGAAATTAAAGATTGGAAAGAAGATACAAATCCTAACAAAGTGATAATTGCTCAGCATTTGAATAAAAAGTTATTCAGTTTAAACTGTGAGTGCTATTTGTGATACTATATAGAAAAAGGCACTTTAAAAAGATATTACAGTGCTTTATGTTTATTTCTATTTTCGTTATTACTTTTTGAAAACTTCAGTATTTCACAAATCTACTTCCAGCTTTTTACTGTACAAAGCAATGTTTTTTTTATTCAAGCAATTCTTTTATATTTTTTATAATCACGGGTAAGTAATATTTAAAGCAAAACGTGAAGCAGGTTGAATAACTTTTCAATAAATTCCACATTCTTATTTACTTTAATCATAGCAATTTCTTTATCAAAACTTGAAAAAAGACAAAAGTGTCATTCCTGCAGACCTAAAATTGCCAAAGACATTTTAATTGGAATATAACATTTGTGTTTCTTTGTAATACAGTATGTCTCATATTTAATTAATTAACCGTAATTAACATAATATATTACAGTAGAGCGTCGTTTATGCGAAGGTCGGTTATCCGAAACGTCGGTTATCCGAAGGAATTCCAGTCCACAAATCTTCGCCAGTGCTGTGGCGCTGTAATCTTTGGCTATGTCTTCCGCTACTCAAATATTTTACGTTTTTGATACTAAATTAACTTCTCAAGTATAATTTTTTTTATTGTTTTTATATTTTTCAATATATTTATTTTGTTTGTAGAAAATATAAAAATAATTTTTAACGATACAATAGTCTTCGTTAGGCTTAACATCGATGAAAATTCAACTCGAAGCGACACGCAACGGAGAAAAATTTCAACACAGGATAAATTAATATATTTTTTCGTACATAATTGGTTATCCGAAAAATAAGTTATCCGAACAACCCCAGTTCCCAATTGATTCAGATAAACGACGCTCTACTGTATATATTATTAGTTTTACATGAATTATTTAAAATTCTTCATGCTAGTAGTTAACAGATAAACAGGTACTGTACCTTTTGGAGATTTAACGAGCTGATTTAGTAAAGGTTAAGAAAATAC